AACTTTTCTAGTGATTCTTAACTCAGGCCTGGTCTAAACTAGAGTTAGGTCGACGCAAGGCATCTTTAACTACGAAAGTGTCTACACTTACATTTGGCTCCCACCGACATAACTGCCTGCTATGCCGACTTAATACTCCACCTCCACAAGCAGCATAGAGTCAAGATCGATGTAGTTTGGTTGAAGCAGTGTCAGTGTAGACACTGCGTTGCTTACATTGACCATTACTGGCTTTCCGGAGCCATCCCACAATGCCCCACACTGACAGCACAATGGATGCAAGTGCTCTTGATGAGGATGTGCGCCGCTGACAAAAAGGAGCAAAGTGTAGACACGCACAAGTGATATAATTCCTGGAGTGGCTGTATGCCAATGTACGTTAGCTCGACTTAATTCTGTAGTGTAGACATGGCCTCAGACTTCGCAGAGTTTTACAGAATTTGATCCTAAAGAAGCAGTTTCCATTTAGTCCTACAAAAGAGAGAGAGTGAAGTCTGACTATATATTTCCAGTAGCAGCACCCTTAATTGTCCCTGAGAATTCTGAAATTCTGAAACTTATTATATATATAATTATAGTTTCTCCCTAGCATTTCAACATCATTAGGGTAGGAAAGTGGATTTGGTGAACCTGGACCCACTTGGAATGGAATTTTAAGCCTTTGGCAAATAAACAGACCTGTAACCCTGGCTGGGGCTGGCTTTAGCAACAATTCCCTTGTAATGCTCAATATTCTAAGAAGAAACATGGTACAGATATCCATCCATCTTGCATGGACAAATGTGTGGTTTTGAAGGTTCAAAGCATTTGAATGCTAAAACCTGAGTATACATTTAGGCTTAAACACAGTTTCTTAATTAGTTCAATAGCAATTTTAAATTTCATTTTGTTACAGAGAGCTGTTGAATTTCATTCTGATTGATAAACCTTTTGGAGAGAAACGGGTTGGCTAGAGTGCTCTCATAGAGCTGGATCCAGCAATTCTTACTCACATGAGTAATCCCACTGATTTATATGAATGTTCATGCTGAAGTAAAGTCTATACATGAAAGAACTGCAGAAGTGGGCCCATGAAGCCAGATTCTGAGAGGTGCTGATAAACCATTTGACATATAAGTTGCAGGTAGTTTGTAGGTTAGCAGATGTGAATTATAGTGTGCCACATCTTCAGTGATTAGTTTCCTCTGTATCAAGACATTGTTCCTGCCAGGTGTGGTTCTGGTTGGGCAAAGACATGGTAAGCATGTTATCTCAGGCCCACAGTTAAGAGGAAGAGAAGGTTTTCTCTGTTGTGCTCAAACTCATTTTTCTTCATCATCATGTCCCTATTACGCCTCTGGTGTTTAGGGCAGCGATGAAGCTCCTCCACTCCTGTCTGTTTCTGGCAAGTCTTTCAATGGTTCCCCAGCTGTGCTCCAAGTTTTTCAGCTCGGCTTCCACAGCTCTTCACCATGTTGTTTTCGGACGGCCTTGTTTTCACTTGCCTTCAGGTGTCCATCTTATTGCCACTCTGGTGATGGAATCAGTTTCCATCCGAAACACATGACCGATCCATCTCAAACGCCTCCTGGCAATGATGATGCTCAAATCCTCTTGGCTGCACTGTGTCAGTAGATCTTGGTTTGAGATTGTTCTGGGCCAAAAGATACGGAGGATTTTTCTGAGGCAGGTTATATAAAATGAAGATTGTTTGGACATGTCATACTTTCTCATTCCCCAGCATTCTGCACTATAAAGTAATGTTGAAAGTACGCAGCTCTGGTAAATCTTGAGTTTGGTTTTGGTTTTGTATGTTGATAATTTCCAGACTGTATTTCTGCTCCTGAAAGTGTTCCTGGCTTTACTGATTTTGTTCCAGATGTCCTGGCTTGTTCCACCATCCTGGCTGATGGTGCTGCCCAAATATGTGAATGTTTCCACATTGGTGAGAACATAATCCTCTATCCGTACTGGTGATGGTGAGGCAATATTATTTCTTATTACAGTTGATTTTCAGTCCAATTTGCTGGCTGAATGCATTGAATCAAGTTGTTTTTTCTTGTATATGGTGTTGGGTATGTGATCGGAGAGCAAGATCATCTGTGATGTCCAGGTCTTCAAGGGATGGGTGTCCATTTAATGCCTCTTGGCATGTCTTCTGTTGCACACTGCATTACCCAGTCAATGGCAATGCTGAAGAGGATTGCAGACATGACACACTCCTGAAGTACTCCCGTTTTGACTTCAAAACTGAGCTCACTGTGATCAACACTGCATGTAAAGTTGAAATAAAAGCTTTTGATGATGTTGATTATACGTAAAGGGATTCCATATGCCCGCAGAATATCCTCTGGTGTCCGTGTCTTGTCGTGGCAGGATAGCTTGCGTGCTCTAACGATCCCCAGAGTCTGTGTCGGCGGGGGCTTTTTGCTCCTGGTAGGTTCAACCATGTCGGATTGGTCTGTGGGGGAGGGGACAGACAAAACAGACATCCTGGTCCTCCAGGTTGCGGGTTAGGCACAGAGCTAACAACCCTGTCCCATAAAAAAATAAAATATGTTACGAAAACAGTGACGGAGAAATCGACCATTAATGTGTGTGATGGCTTTCAGGAGTCAATGACCCGTAAGACTGCCAGGGGTGACAGCCGAAAGGAAGTCACTAGCATGAAGACTGAAGTGCTCAACACCAAAACAAAAACCAGACTTGTTTTTTGGACCGTACGGACAATGTACGAAACAGAGAAGCTAGCTCAGGTCACAGCAGAGATGAGACACTACAGCTTACACATCCTGGGTGGCAGTGAGAGCAGATGGACGGGATCAGGAAGATTAACAACAGCTTCGAGAGAAACTTAGCTGTATTCTGGACGGGTTGATGGACAACACCATGAGGGTGTTGTTCTCCTTTTGAAGAAGGGAGTGGAGCATTCCCTGCTTGAATGGAAATCCATCAGCAGCAGGCTTATGAGATCCAGACTGAAAGGGAAACATAATATCACCCTGATTCAGTGCTATGCTCCGACAAATGACAGTGATGAAGAAGTAAAGGAAAAATTCTACCTTACACTACAGTCGGAGTTAGAGAGAGTACCACGCCACGACCTAACTATCGTCATGGGAGACCTGAATGCCAAGGTTGGTAAGGACAACACAAACGACAGAGCAATGGGAAGACATGAGTGTGGCACCATGAATGAAAATGGAGAGAGGCTTGTTGGTTCCTGTAATATGATTGACCTAGGCATCGGCGGAACCCTATTTCAACATTGTGAAATTCACAAGCTAACATGGTGTTCTCCAAATGGCAGAGATAAGAACCAGATTGACCATATCATGATCAATGGCAAATGGCAACGATCACTGATAGATGTGAAAGTGAGAAGGGGTGCAGATGTTGGTAGTGACCACCACCTTGTGACAGCCTCCATCAAGCTAAAACTGAAGTGTGGGTCCACCAAACAAGGGACATAGACATTATGACATTGACAAGCTAAAAGCCCCTGAAATTCAGAAAGCCTTCATTTTCCAGTTAAAGAACAGGTTTCAAGCACTTGCAAACCTTGATGAAGAGGAGGGGAATGCAATATGTGGGGCAAAGTAACAGCAATTTATAAACAGAGCAGTGAAGCCTGTCTAGGCTACAGCAGAAGAGAAGGAAGGAGTGGATTCCACCCAGCACATGGAGTGCCATAGAAACCAGATGAGCCCTGAAGAAAAAAGGGTTTTAGACACAAAATCCCAGAAGCTAAAGAACAAATACCACGAGCAGAATAGCAAGGCACACCGGGAAGTCAGATGCCTTGCGAGAGTGGACATACAGCATTATATTGATAATCTGGCAACACAAGCAGTGGATGCTTTTTTTAAGGTCAGGCTTGACAAAGCCCTGGCTGGGATGATTTAGTTGGGGATTGGTCCTGCTTTGAGCAGGGGGTTGGACTAGCTGATCTCCTGAGGTCCCTTCCAACCCTGATATTCTATGATTGTATGCTGCAGCTGCTCGTGATGAACAAGGAACAGTCTATAAAATGACACGGCTTATCAGTGGTAAACATCAGACACCAACAAACACTCTCATCAGGGACAAACAAGGCCACCTACTAACAACTGAAAACGAACAAGAAATGCGCTGGACAGAGCATTTCAAAGAACTGCTGAACAGGTAGCCACCTAAAGACAAAGCAAACATCCAGGAGGCAGAAGATGATCTCGATATCAACACAGACACTCCAACTAAGGAAGAGTTCATTCAAGCCATCAAATCCTTAAAAAATGGGAAAGCTCTTGGCAAGGATAACTTGAATGCAGAATTGTTCAAGATAAATCCTGAGTTAGCAGCATCTATCCTGGCCCCTCTATTTACGTCAGTCTGGGAAAGGGAAAAAGTGCCAGATGAGTGGACCAATGGGGTTATAGTGAAGATACCAAAGAAAGGAACTCTCAGTGATTGTAATAATTGGCGTGGTATCACACTTTTATCTGTGCCAAGCAAAGTATTGTGCAAGATCATAGTCCAGCGTATATCAGAGGCAGTCAATAGCGTTCTCAGAAAAGAGCAAGCTGGTTTTCGGAAAGGGCGTGGATGCACAGACTAGATCTTCACTTTATGAAACATAACAGAACAATGCTTAGAAAGGCAACGGCAACTCTACATAAAATTCGTTTTTACTAAGGGCAATATAAATTGGAAAGGGCACCAAAAAACACTACATGGCTCTCGCAATCTACCCCAAAGTAATACACCTCTACCCCAATATAACGTTGTCCTCGGGAGCCAAAAAAATCTTACCGCGTTATAGGTGAAACCGCGTTATATTGAACTTGCTTTGATCTGTCGGAGTGCGCAGCCCCGCTCCCCCCGGAGCACAGCTTTACCGCGTTATTTCCGAATTCGTGTTATATCGGGTCACGTTATATCGGGGTAGAGATGTATAATTTTGGGGGGAGTGATATTTTAACACAGTCATTTGGACCTTGTCTATCATTTTGGGAGCAGATCATGACAGAGGAAACTGAAGCAACCCTTTATTATCCTTTAATTAAAAATTGCACATAATTTTTTCTTGTGAAGGGAGCTTTTAGTCTCTTACACTAGGGCTTAAAGCTTCCTCACAGCTAATCAGAAGTAAATCGCACCATCCTGACAGTCATAAAAATGACTAACAAATAAATGCTAATCCCATTCCATTCCGTGGAGCAGGGATCTCTGGGGGAGGTACAATATGTTTGTCTGTTTGTTCACTGACTGGTCCTCCAAAGATTTAGGGAGTCAATTGACCACTAGACATCTACAAACAACAGAGAGAGCTCTTGAATCGAGCTGTTTGTCTCTAAATCTCAAAGCCTTTACAATGGTGGGGAAACATTATTACCCCTGTTTTACAAATAGAGGCACAGAGAGGTGAAGTGATCTGACTTAGGTCACACAGTGAATTAGTGGCAGAAGAGGGAACAGACCATCAGGTCTCTTGACTTCCAGTTTCATGCCCCATCCAGTGACCATGCTGCCTTCTTTTGAGCAAATACCCACATCTCCATCATCATCAGTTATCATTTCTGAGTGTTGCTATCATTCTCAGATGGCCTCCTGTATATCAAACACCCTTAACTCAGCAATACCATACAAGGCTAACGAAAACCTTTCAGCTGATTAACAAAATAAGCTCAGGAATTCTACTGTAAATTAAGATGTTTTTAAGCTTTTCTTGCTAGAGAGAGTAAAAATTAATACTGAAGTCTTTGCACTAACCATGTGCAACCAAAAATCACAGCCGTCACATTTGCACCATCATTTGCACATACTCAGTCCCCATTCACCACTATGCAACTTCCTACTTTTAAGTTCTATTATCTCTCACTTCATCATTTCCAAAGGCTCTTCCTAAATTAACAGTTAGGTTAGTAATGGTACTTTAATCTATTCAATGATATATGGTTACAGTTTATATGCTTAGCTATATAAATAAGAGCAAAAAAAAAAAAGTGCTTAAAACATCATTTGCATCCACTTCGATTTCAACCAGTAAAATCAAACTGTCCTCTAAATATATGAATAATACTGAATATATACCTCCTCTTGTCCATTTTGTTACCTAGAACCCTGTAGGTAACTGACCTTCTCTTGTTCATTTACTTTTACCTAAAACCATTGACAATAACCTCTTCCCCTTGCTGATTATTACCTACAACTCTGTAGGTAACTGTGCCTCTCTCTTACCATTTATGTCACCTAGAAATATGTAGGCAACAATGCCTTCTACTTGCCTATTTTATTACCTAGCACTCGGCAGGTAACAAGACTTTTCTCTTGCTGATTCTACTACCTGGAACTCTACAGGTACCAACAGTTTCCTCTTGTACTTTTCACTTTTGTACAAATCCTGAAAAGTTAATTTGAGTGTCTTCGTTTCTGCTCTTCTCTGAAACCTTGTGCTGTTTAAAAATGTATCTCTCTTTGAAGACTAAAAAAATTAAATTTGCTGAATAGAAAAATAACTGTCCTGATGTTTTTAGGTTTCTAGCAGCTGCTGGTTCTGCTAAATGAACCAGAAGAAACCAAGTCTATTTTAAAAAATATATTAGCATTGTTTTAAATACAAAATGGAAAGTAGAGTGAGACTACTTAAGACCTTGGCATTCCAATGGGGCAGTCATGCCCCTCGCTATGCAACTCTACAGATATTTTTTCCATACTTAGAGCTAATGCTCTGTTTTTAAAAAAGCAATTTAGACTTAAAAAACCATAGGTTATTTCCAAAATTGCCTAGTGTACTTTTGGTAAAGTTGACAGTTAATTTACCCAGAGTAACACAATATCAAGAAAGTGGGCAGGTACTTCACAAGAGCACAGTTGTGTTATGTTAGAACCTTCCTAACATAGCTGAACACAGAAAGAAGTTAGCCCAGTCAATATCTTGCTTTGCAAAGGTTGATACCTTGGACTTGCATTTAATATCCCCATACCATGCCAAAAAGGTAACTCTGCATGAGTTATCTATTGAGGAAAACACCCGAAAGGCAAGTATGTCTGGACAACTGCAATTCTCCTTTTATAAACTCTTGAGATGATTCAGTCCCACAGGAAGTGGTGGGCGTCATATAAGCCTAGAACTTTTAAGGAACTGAATAAGAACTCCATAGACGAAAGTGTATTGACAGAGAGTCTGCACCATCATCATCCTCTGCTGCCTCAGCATGTCCAGCACTCTTGGGATGTCCAGCATCTGGAAAAAGAAAGAAGTTAACTGTTATAACGACTGGCGATTAATAAGTCTGTGGTTTGTTCTTTCAAGGCAGGAGAGATGCATGATCTAAGCACAGGGCACAGAGTCAGTAACTCCTAAGCTCAGATCTCAACTCTGACAATTAACCCACTGTGGCCTGGGCCAAGTCACTTAAATTGTCGGCCTCGTTTTCCTTATCTGTAGAAAGGGCTTAATACTAATTTGCGTACCTCATAATGAGGCTTAATAATTTAATGCTTGGCAAGTGCTTTGAAGATGAAAAGCACTGCCATGTGTAAATACTAAGTATCATCAGCATAGAGTATCTTCGTTTCAGTATCTATCACCTTTCAGAGCACATTCAAAAATGAAAAAAGCAACAAGTGCAATAGTCTACAGCTGATCACCTTCGGTGATGGCCAGACAGGGCTAATGTCTCCTCTAAATATTTTATGAAACTGTCACACTGTCTTCTACACAACACTAATATTATAAATACAGATACACCCAGCAACCAGGCAAATCTGATGAAGTGTAGGGACTAGACTGAAAAATGCATCTGTAAAAATGGGTCATAAAGCCAAACTAGCAAGATGCTGGGTTCCCTCAGCTCCTACTGAAGTCCACAGAATGTGAGGATGCCCTGCACCACACAGGCATTGATCAGCACCTTGCAGGACAAGGTTCCTGAATGAAAAATACATCTTAATGCACACCTGATGCACTAGCAAACGCTTTTACAATATTACTAAAGGGGGTGAGGAGCTGGTAAGGGTTCTCCCAACCTCTGCAGTAAAGATTTTCCATAGGCCACACCATAAGTGCTCAATAGATCAGGCAGCACAATATTTATGATCTGGGTGACCTGAGCAATCTCCACATACATATACCAAAGCTTTTATTTTAAAACATAGGCAAGAAAATAACCTCATTGTGTTCCAAACAGGCAATCATGATCTCTGACAATATGACCACTCCCGTTCTTCCTACACCTGCGCTGCAGTGCACCAGTACAGGAGGGTTAGAGCTTTTAGGATCTGCTGTGCTGTTTGTATGGCGCCGCACTGACTGTATCTCCTCCAAGTACGCTGTCAGTTTCAATGGGAAAGAAAAAGACACGTAAATACACATATTACATCACTACCATTGTAACTAACATCAGAGAACAAACCGCAACATTCCTGTCACATTCCTGACAACGATCATTGATTTACTGAAACATTTTTAACAGCCCATCAAAGCAACAGGAAGGTTTATTTATTTACTTGGGAGTTTCCCTGGGTGGGGCTCTTGGGGAGGTGACTTATAGCCTAACTCTCTTTTGCTGGGGAGCGATTAAAGTGACAGCTTGCAGTGTAATTATGTTTCAATTTATATGGTTTTTAATGATTACGTACATGAGCTTAGAGGCAGACAGACATACATTTCTACAAAAAAAGGCAATCCAACATCCATCACTGGTGTGAAGAAACCTTTAACATCAGTATGCTCTACAACCATAATAGGTGGTGTGGCTAATGGAGGGGATTAACACAACTTACACAGAAATCCCTTGGGATCCTCTGGGCACCCATGCTCTGGCCAGTCAGTGTACTGCAGATGCCAAACTGTTCTCTCCTGCCCTGTGAGAAGGTGTTTGATCTTCAAGCCTGTAGTTGCATAGCAGCCAGAGTCTGTCCGGAATCGTGTAGTAATCTTAAATCTCCCATAGGTGACAGTGTTGTGCCTTGAGCCAAGTCGGGGCCAGTACCTGAAACTCTTTTCTCGCCCACCCTCCTTGGAAGCAAAGCATTACAAACGTAAGGCATGAACACACACATACACAATTGAACTTGCTGTAACAATCCCAACGTTTCTACCCCACAATATACCGCTAAAGGGCTTCTCCACAAACTTTGACTCAGACTTAGTAAACGAGGAAACCATTTCTAAGGCTGAGTCTACACTAGAATGGTTGGCCAGTATAGCTATCTCAGCAAATCTCTCGAGTGGAGACCAGTTTATACTGACAAAACTTCTAACAGTTCCCTGAATGAAAAACTATATTGGCAAAAGGATTTTTTTATCAATATAAAAATATCACACAGGATTACGATCCTAACTAACATTACTATATCGAGAAACGTTTCAAAGCACACCTGGCCTAAGGACCCACCTCTTCTGCTGTCACCATTGCTATAATGGCAATCCCTTGTTCCCACACCATCTGCCAGAAATCCTGACATGTATTCTGCAAAGGGCCCTGTGTAGCAATATAGTCCCACTCAATGCCACTGACAGAGACCTGTAAAAAATGCAAAAGGAGAATGTTAAATTACTGGTTACCAAGAAAGTTGTTTGCAAAGTGAGTGACTTTAAACTTTGGAGTTGGAAGTAACATTTGGGAATCAAATGAGGCCATTTGTAAAACATATAAATCTGACTCCACCTAGTATTTGCACCCTGTCGTGTTGAAGTCATCATTTATATAGTCCTTTAAAAAGGTTAAATGAACATTTAGAAGAGAAAAACAACTAGAGATACAGTATTTTAAAACCAACCATACTGGACAACTGAGGCTACATCAACATTCTTTCATATTGGGTGAATTCTGTGCAGTCAGACAAATTAGGCTTTAAAGACATTTTCTAGCCATTTCAATGCCATTATTACAGTGTTAAAAGGAGTCTACACTAGTCAATATGTTTTTCCTCCCAATTTTGATTCAGGAAATTCAAAATGCTGACTTATAGCTTGTTATCGAGTATGAAAACTGTTCAATACTATGCCAGGCAGCAAAAGGCCATAAAAAAACCAAAACAAACAAAAAAAACCAACAACATATAACCTTGTTTAGAGGTGCCTACAGATAAGAAGGGAGGGATAGCTCAGTGGTTTGAGCATTGACCTGCTAAACCCAGGGTTGGGAGTTCAATCCTTGAGGGGGCCACTTAGGGATCTGAGGAAAAAAATCAGTACTTGGTCCTGTTAGTGAAGGCAAGGGGCTGGACTCGATGACCTTTCAAGGTCCCTTCTAGTTCTAGGACAGAAGATATCTCCATTAATTTATTTATTTTAAGGAGATCTTAACTCTCTTTAGAAGCATCAAATCATTTAAGACTATAACCCACCTCCCTGTGGAAACACCCACTGGAAAAGGGCCCTGGAAATTCTATGAAGTTCACCTTGCAAGAGGTTCCTTATAATCTTTAAGGAAAGAGGCTGGGGCCAGGGGAAAGGGGTTATACTGTGAAGAGCAGTTTCCCACCTGGCTCCATCTACTCCCTGTGACCAGCCAGGAAAGTTCCAGCATGAAGCTAGCATTCCCACCTTCTGTGCTCCCAGGCCAGATCCACAGAAGGAGAGGGAACAATAGGGCCCTTAAATTTCAGTTCTTTAGGTTGGGTGTATGTCTGTCTCTGCTGCGAATGGAGTCAGACTGGGCAATTACAATACCTGACACATATATACCAGCTTTGATCTCAAAGGACCCCAGTGTGCTTTAAGGATTATTGTCCAGCTTTTTACATCCCCAAAGCATTGATTTACCTTCTATTAATGTATGACAAAGAAAAAAGAGAAAGCAACTGAATGAACAGTATATGGCAGATGCCTCAGATATGTGATCATGGAGTCTCTCTTAAGGCCTAAGGGCTTGTCTACACCGAGACTTAATGCGTGGCTAGGCAGGGTTTGAATGTACAGTCCTCTAGCCTGCCACTCACCAAGTGGCTGTGTGGACCCTGTTCCTGTGCTCTAAAGGTTCCATTGTGTGCTGTGATCATAGAATCATAGAATATCAGGGTTGGAAGGGACCTCAAGAGGTCATCTAGTCCAACCCCCTGCTCAAAGCAGGACCAATTCCCAGCTAAATCATCCCAATGTTCTGCTGTTCTGCTGTTTCAAACAGTGGTACGTCAAAGCGCACTACAGAACTTTTAGTGCGCAGTAACAGAGTCTACACAGTTGCTTAGTGTGTGGCAGGCTACAGTGCTGTAGTTTTACACACCAGCTTGCTGCACACTACATCTTCATGTAGATAAGACCTAAGGAAAATCTCTCTTCCTCAAAATAGTGAATATTAGGCCAGCATGAAAAGGGAAAGAGGGACTGACTGGGCATTTACCCACACTCATTTATCACATTTCAGAGTAGCAGCCGTGTTAGTCTGTATCCGCAAAGAGAACAGGAGTACTTGTGGCACCTTAGAGACTAACAAAGCTACAGCCCACTTCTTCGGATGCATATAGAGTGGAACATATATTGAGGAGATATATATACACACGTACAGAGAGCATGAACAGGTGGGAGTTGTCTTACCAACTCCGAGAGGCCAATTAAGTAAGAGAAAAAAAACTTTTGAAGTGATAATCAAGATAGCCCAGTACAGCCAGTTTGATAAGAAGTGTGAGAATACTTACAAGGGGAGATAGATTCAATGTTTGTAATGGCTCAGCCATTCCCAGCCCTTATTCAATCCTGAGTTGATTGTATCTAGTTTGCATATCAATTCCAGCTCAGCAGTCTCTCGTTGGAGTCTTTTTTTGAAGTTTTTCTGTTGTAAGATAGCCACCCGCAGGTCTGTCATTGAATGGCCAGACAGGTTAAAGTGTTCTCCCACTGGTTTTTGAGTATTATGATTCCTGATGTCAGATTTGTGGCTGTAGCTCACGAAAGCTTATGCTCTAATAAATTTGTTAGTCTCTAAGGTGCCACAAGTACTCCTACTCATTTATCAGTCATCAGTTTTTCAACTTCAGTCCTAACACTTCCCTTAGTGCAACAGTTGCAATCCCTTGCACAGTTAAGAGAAAGAAAAGTATCTCCCAGCAGTGTCGTGCTGCTCTGAAGCTAGCACCACCAACTCAGGTCTTCATCACCAAGACCCTCCTCATAGCCCCCGGTGCCCTGACATTTCAAAGTGCAGAGGTCAGTGTGCTCAATCAGCCAATCCAGCAAGTCAACTACCCTGGCAACACTGTTAGGCTATTCAGAATTATTTTAACCGAATAATAAAGAGGGTTTTGATACTAGCTGCAAGAATCATTCTGCAAAACGTTCTTCATCAGTATTAATCTTACCTTAATATGGGATGCATTGATATAGCCAGTGTTGTTTTCTTTGGTTGGGACCAGCTCCACTCTGGCATCATCATAGGGAAGGACATCCTGGAACCTGTTTCTCTCTGCATTTTCAGGGAGCCGAGCTATTGAGCACTCTCCATCTATGAGCCTTTTCTTTTGAATCTGCTCATACTCGGTAAACACCATTCCCTGTTCCAGCCGTTGTTCTAGAATTTTACACTAAAAGATAGAATAAGATGATCATATAATGCCACAGCCCCACTCAATTTTACTCTTAACATTGCAATGAAAAGAATTTAATTAAAAAAAAAAGAGCACAAATTTCTCTCACTTAATTTTTAAAAGCCCTTTCCAGCTATCACTATTTTTACAATCACAATAATTCAGGAGTGGCCAAATATTGGGGTCTTTACTCAGATTAAACTAATTTACGTTAATGGGAGTTTTGTCTAAGTGAAGATGGATGAAGAATGTAAGGATATGGCACTAGGAGATGGAAATAGTAAATAACATTCAAAAATTATTCCTTGATTTCTATATAGATAAGCCAATCAGACATGGGAACATTTTGCCAAACAAGGTAGTTAGGACAGAGTCTCTACAGGTATTTGAGGCAAGGATAGATAAGTTTGGACGGGGATGTGTACAGTCCTTCCTGCTTGATGTAGCAGGTTGCAGTAGCTAATTTGAGAGGTATCTTCCAACTCTATTATCTGGTCAGCTTTGTTTTGAATCTGGAGAGCCACCTGAACAAAAAAAATGTTTTGTTAAATGAATAAATTCAGCATACTCTGCAAATACTCCCTCAGTTTTATCAGCCTGCAGATGATAAATGTTGAAGATGGCAGCAAATCCTTCCTACAAACTCCTGCTGCAGATGAGGTATAAGCACAAATTCCTCCTACCATAATAATTCTGTTTTATTTTTAATTATTTTCTGTATTGTTTTTCATTTATGTTTCATTAATTGTTTTATTTTTATTTAACAAGACCTGCTGAAAAACAATTTTTTTTTCAAAACCAAAATACTTTCTAATCAGAAGACACTTTTGGAATTTCAGCAACTGTTTACTTAAAAAAAAAAAAGGAAAGATTTAAGCTAGAGAAGTGTGTGTGTGTGTGTCTTGCACCAGACTCTCACAGTAATATCAGAACAGCCACACAGTATGAGACAAATCAACCATCTAGTCTGGTATCCTCATCTGCCGTTACCAGATGGTACAGAGAAAGGTGTAAAATCTCCATAACAATTCATATATCAGCACACTTACAGGGAAGTTTCTGAGTTTCTTCTTGGTCAAGTTCCTACTATGAAATGGACTACAAGGGCACAGTAGCATGAATCTGAGCTTCAGAAGTATATGTTGAACGAACTTCTTGGTCCTCTACAAATATTTGCAGTCCTCAGACTGGATTTTCTTCTATTACATACGTCCGAATTGTTTTGTCTGTGCCCTATTTAAATGGTAAACTTCTTGTTTGTACAGCATCACGCACAACGGTGCTCAGTGTTATAACAGCGGCAACAATATCTGCTTTTAAAAGCTTTCACTATTTACTTCAAGAATGACTCGATTCTTTCCTCTAACAGATTCCTGTGGGTGGTACTAGGCAATTGCGCCTCTGCCCTATTGGTTCTACTGCTCAGAGGTCTGCAAGGTTCTATTTTGTCATCCTCCTATTCAACATGCACTGCATACAGGGCTGCTGGGAAAGACACTGCGGGGATGTGGATGCAGAGGACACACATCTCTGACTCCTTTTCATCTATCCTATCAGTGCAGATTCCCCGTTTTCCCCAAGTGCTTGGAAAAAACTGGGGTGTGGATAAAGTGTGCTCACTGAAGCTCAAGCCATTAATGGCTGTGTTGGTTTGCTAACTTCATTGACAATGTGGTGTTATTTTAGGTCCCCAGCATCTCCTAGACTCCTATGGTGCACCTATGGCTAAAAATGCCATTTTCTAGCTACATTTGTCCAGAAAATTACAACACCTCTCTCCAGTGTGTGGACCTTACTCAGTTATCCAAACCTTTGAGATCCCCAGAATGAATTACTGCTATGTGCTTGACACTGGATTACCCTTTGGAAGCCATTTGGAAGTTTGTAGTTGGTGCAGAATGTGGTTTCTCATTGAGGGTTCAGTCCTGCAAGGTGCTCAGTGACCTTCTCAGTGAATTGAGTTAAAGTGGAGATGAAGTTGAGCGTGCTATGTTATGCACAGAATCAGGTACTTAAGTGTTGGCTGAAGGATGCACTTTACACTACTTCTCCAAGGACTGCACTGGCTATGCTCCTGGGTATAATTCAGGGTGATAATATTGCTCTAGAGAGTCCTATATAGTTTGGGTTCTGCCTATTTTCATCCCATATCCTCTCATGACACTTAGATTAGCCAGAGCGTTCTTGCTTATGCTGCGCATCCCAGCTTTAAACTGCCTTGATCCCAGCTTTCTCAGCTGGATGACCCTCAGCTTTGGAGCCTGCTTCCCTCACAGGTTTGAGACAGTATATATGTGTTGATCTTCAGGGCATTGTTTAAGATCCATCTTTTTTTTCAGGGTTTTTCCTGAGGAGAAATATCAATGTGACCTGCAAAGACCTGAACCCTGGAGCGAATTCTAACTAGAATAATAAATAATAAAAATTTAACAAGTAAGCACCAACAGTACAAGTCACACAGAAAGTCACAGCCCCTACCATGAAGAGCATACACTCTAGACAGGGATACAACTCAGTGGGAAATAGAGGGAAAGTTTCTAATTTAAAAAATTCTGGATACTATTTTAACTACTGCCCATGTGCCCAGAAGCTGGATAACAGGTGAATCTTAGGTATATCTCCATCTATTTTTATATATATATATATATATATATATATATATATATATATATACT